CATGCCCACTCTCCCCTTCTCCCTCCATAACACGGAGGATTTGGGCCTTGTTCTACCCAGGACTTGGAGTAAGGATTAAAGAGATGTTCTTTACGCTTTGATCGTGTCGAGTAAAGAGGGCACAGGGACAGCTCTCCCACTTCCTCCAAGAGGAACAGCCTCCTTCTTTGTGGGGTTTCCCGTTCTTTATTTTTCCCACAGTCTCCTGGTGCCTTAAGCGCAGGTCCTGGTGTGAACAGGAGAGGAGCGGCAATGAATCAGTGCTTTTTTGAAGCTGTTTTCCAGAAGTGAGAGAACTGACTTCTCCACCTGCCTCACCACACCTTGTTTCAGGCAGTGACAGAAGCAGCGTTGAGCACTTACTGTCAGGTCTGGCTGCAGCGCAGGGAGAACAACCTGCAAAGGGAGGCAGCCAAAGCCCCTACTGTCACTGCCCATCACTCAAGAGCTTAAGCAGCCAGCTTCCTGCACCAGTCTTGGATGGAAGAAAACTTGTAGTCTGCCTGCCTAAAAGCCCACCCGGCTCCCTAGGAGTCCAGGATGAGAGGCCGCTTATCAGGCCAGGAGAGACTGGCTGTGCTGGTCAGGAAGGCAGTCTGTGAATGAGCGCGCTCCCCAGGCAGGCTCAGCGTTCAGGGATGGGTGTTTACCTTTGCAGCCTACTGTGCTTCTCGCCCCTTGAAATTCTCCTAAGAACCCAGAGGAGCAGCTGAAAATATCCCAAGTAATATGAAAATGAGTGAAGGCTCAGCACCCACAGCCCAGCTTCTGAGCAAACAGCTGAAAAGGCAGGCGGCAAAACAAGAAAAGGGAAGAATGCAAAAGGAGGATGGGCAGATGAGAAGGTGGATGGGGCGGGGGAGGGGGCAGGAGGAGGCGGGTCAGAGCGAGGGCTCTGGCTTGTCTTCTGTCCTGGAGCTGCCTCTGCCACCCACCTCCCTATGGGGTGAGGAAAGCAGTGCCAAGAAAAAGTTCTCAACTTTGGGCTGGATGGAGAGACTTTTTGGTGGAAAATGCCTCGTGGTCTTGTGAGTTCTATGGTACTTTTCTACAGTGAGGGGAAGTTGGAAGTCAGGGTAGGTCTGGGCACTTTGCCTTCCCAGGAGTTGGGAGGCCTGAGTTCCAGACCCAGCTGTCATGGTGTGACCTTGGGCAACACCCCATGTTTGTGAGTACAGTTTCCTTACTGGCAAAATAAGAAAATTTGACTAGATGACTTCAGGGGGATCTTTTTAGCTCTAACATTCTAGAGCTTTTATTTTGTTTTGTTTTGTGTTTTACTTTTACCATAACTGACAAAGACTTGCATACATATTTGACTATTGTTGAGCTGTGCTAACCGCCTTTGGAAGCTTATCTTCCGAGGCACATGGACACGGATGGTCATGTGAGTAGGAACCAGCAGAATAAGAATCTTCTTGGATATTCTGAGTGAGGCCAGGCTGGGGCCAAAGACGTAGCTTCCCACCAACAGCGGTGAAGGTAGCATCACACTGGCTGTGGAACCACAGGTTAGAGGTGGAGGACCTCAAATTTATTACTCAGTGTGTATTCTGTGTCTAAAGCTGTGCTAAGCACTTTGCATTTATTCTCTCATTTACTTTTATACCAATACTTTGAGCTAAGGCTTATTATTATCCCACTTTTATGCCTCAGAGCTGTAGAGTAACTTGCCCATGGTCACATAACCTGGATGTCACTCAGGCCTGAATGATGCAGGGGTCCACACTCCTAGCCACTGCACCACACATACTCTCAGAACCTTATGGTCTCAGGGAAGGACGTGATGAGCCTGAAGGGTAAGGGATGTCGAGCCCCACATCCCAGCTCCCTGAGGGGTTGTGTTCGCTCTGCAGAGCACAGAACAGAGTCCCTATATATGAATCCATTGCCTCCGCTGTGCCATCCCTGTGCAGAGGAGCCCTGCCAGCTCGTATCAGACAGCAACGCATGAAACCGTGGCCCTTTGTTTTGTTTTTCACCTTTTATAAACTAGAGAACAAACTACAGCAACCATAGTGCCAAGAAGGCAGGCAAGGATGCATGAACAAGGAGCACATGGGGATGGAACATGTCGGCTGCAGCAAGGAGGACTTGACATGGGGCTGGGGGCTGAGCAGGCCCAGGCCAGGATGCTGGGCCATGGCCTTTGTCTACTCTCTTAGTTGCTAAGCTTCCTCATAAAATATTCTAGGATCTTGGAAGGCTGAATGGCCACCTGTGAGGAATGTTGGAATAAATGGGAACTCTTGCTGTAGGTGGAAGGTCAGATCAGGGGCGCTAGGATAACACCCAACTCCAAGAGGCTGCACATCCATGTGCGTCTATTATGTGCTGATTATGAGCCCGGTGTGGCAGCAGGCCCAGTCCTGGGGCGCAGAGATAAGTAAGACAGCACATCTAGCCATAAATTGCTTCCTCCAGGCAGGCAGTCAACAAATGCTAGATGCCTACTGTGTGCAAGGCTTTATTGTAGGTTCAGGGAATAGTGCCAAACAAGACAAGGGTCCCTGCCATCAAGGATTTCATATTCTAAGTAGGGAGGAGGAGAGTAAATAAACAAGGAAGCAGACATGGAAATAAGAAAATGTTAGGTCCTGACGAATGCTGGGAAGAAAGTAAAGCAGTTTCCGGCAGGAGAATGCCTGGGCTGAGTGTTGGGGAAGGCTCTCTAAGGATGGCATATTTGTACCAAACCTCATGGCTGAGAAAGTGACAGCCATGGGTAGATGGGAAGGAGAGCACCTCAAGCGGAGGGAAAAGCAAAAACCAAGTCTCTGGGATGGACCTGAGCCAGTGTGCCTGGGGAATGAGTAGACAAGAGGGAGAATGAAGAGAAAGGAGGTCAGGGAGGCAGAGAGGGTCTTAGGAGGCCACACAAAGGCATTTGGGTCTTACCTGTCTTGGGTAAGCCATGAGGACTGTAAGGGGGAGAGTGAGAAGAGCTAGGTGTGCTTTAGAAAGACCACTCTGGCTGCCGAGGGAGTAAAGGCGGCTGGGGGAGGCTTTGTTGGCTTAGTCTTGGCCATGGCAGTGGAGATGGAGCAGAGTTGTGGGATTCAGGTGGTTGAGGACTTCTTGATGGATTGAATGTAGTTGAGGAAAGGAAGGAACCAAGACTGATTTCTAGATTTTTGGCACTTGAATGGAGAGTTTTACTTAGATGGAGGAGGCTTGGCAGAAGGGGGTGTAGGATTTGAGGGGAGAAATTAAGAGATCTGTTTTGAATATGCCAAGCTCAGGATGCCTTTGAGACACTGAAGTAGAGGTGTTGAGTAGACAGTTGAATGCAGACATCTGGGTGTCTGAAAAGAGGTTCAGCTGGAGACAGGGATGTGAGAGACCTGCGTGTGTAAGAAGGTCCTTAAAGCAATGGGAAAAGATCACATAGGGAGAGAGAGAGGATGCAGAAAGGGAGAGTGAAGGAGATGCTCCAGTATTTTTAGGAAATGCCAACAGAGGAGACTGAGAAGGAGTGCTTGCAAAGTAAGGGAAAAACCAGAGGAGCGAAGTGTCAGGGCCTGGAGGGGAAAGTTTTTTGAGATCAGAAATTGACCTGCTGTGCCAAATGCTGCTGGGAAGTCAAAATGAGGACAAAGAATTGACCATTTACTTTGGCAAGATACAGTCCTTAGTAATGTTGGTAATTAGTCATCAGTGGAGCAGTGGGTAATAAAGCCTGATTGGGGTGGGTTGAGGAGAGAATGGAAGATGGGAAAGGCGAGACAGTGAGTGTAGATGACTCCTTTGAACAGATTTACTGTGAAGGGGAGCTCCAAAAGAGGTGGAAAATGGAGGAGGGACTAGGGTTAAGGGAGAGTTTATTTAAAGGAGGATGATATGGAGGTATGTTTATATGCCAGTGGAAGTGATCCAGTTAAAGAGGGAGAAAAGTCCTTGAAATGGCACGGGAGAATGGGTTCAGAGCCCGGTGAAGGTATTGACCTTGGATGGGAGCCAGGACTCTTTTTCTATAGTAATTGCAGGATGGCATGGCCTGAGTATTTTAGTTCTGAGACAGACACAATAAAGGGCTTGTTGATGGGAAGATGGGGTAGTTCTCATCTTATAGAAACCTGTTTTCTCTATGAAATATACTGCAAGGTCATCAACTGAGAATGGGGTGGGGAGGGAGTGTAGGAGACCTGGGGAGAGAAGGAAGTGTGAGGCATCCCCAGAGACTGGGAAATTGAATTTTCTAGGGAAATGTGGTAGGTTTTTCTGACAGAGTTGAGTGAGATTTGTGGTCATGTTTGAAGTGAGTCTAGTCAGCAAATTTGTATCATTTTTCTCTAGTAATGTTCAGCTGCTCTGGTACAGGCCCTGAATAAGTGGGTAGGACACCAGGGCAGGAGTTCTGCTAGACTAAGACAATGCAAGGAGAGCTGCAAGAAGCCCAGGTGGTCAGCATGGCAGTAGCTGAAGTGTTGGACGTTGGAATCAGAGCCAGGCAAAGAGAGAAGTGAATATATGCAGGTAGTGATGGAAACGGATCATAAAAAAATGTTTTTAATGAAGTGGGGTTGGAGAATTGCTGGAGTAAGTAGGGGTGTCAGAGTAAGCTAGGGTGGCAATGATCAGAAAGTGGGAAGCTGGCAATGTACATTTCATGGGTGATTCAGTTAGTGGTGTGCCAAGGTCTAGGAAACAGCCACGTGAGTGGAGCAAAAGCTCATGGGATGCCAATCACAGTGGGAAGAAAAAAATAACAAAGTCTCATTGGAGCTAGGAAGGACAGCCAGTTAGAGGCCAGAGTATCAGACAGATCATCTTCATGGATTTTGGAGTTTCCAATGATGCTGGCAGAAATAATAATGGAGAAGGGGTCAGCGACCTGGGTGCTAAGGTCATCCATGAACGAGGGGGAACGTCCAGGAGGTTGGTAGACTGACAGCATTTCATACGCAGGAGAGGTCATGAGGTCTGATGACAAGTGCTTCAAGTAGGTGAGCTTGGGTTCTTCAAAGAAGAAAGAGAGATGGTTTAGAAGCTACAGTGGGGTGCTCGCTTCAGCAGCACACAGACCAAAACAGGAGTGACACGGAGAAGGTTAGCATGGCCCTGCACAAGGATGACACACAAATTCATGAAGCGTTCCATATTTTGTATGAAAATACAGTTAGATAGAAGGAATAAGTTCTAGTGTTTGATAGTACAGTAGGGAAATTATAGTTAACAATAAATTATTGTATATTTCAAAATAGCTAGGAGAGAAGAATTAGAGCGTTCCCCACACAAAGGAAAGATGAATGTTTGAGGTGATGGATATCCCAATTTTACACTGATTTGATCATTTCACATTGTGTATAGATAACAAAATCTTACATGTACCCCCCAAATATACAACTATTATGTATCAATGCAATTTTTTTTTTAAAGAAACTAGCTGGGTGTAGTTGCTCATGCCTATAATTGCAACACTTTGGGAGGCTGAAGCAGGAGGATCGCTTGAGCTCAGGAATTTGAGACCAGCCTGAGCAACATGGCAAAACCCATCTCTACAAAAATGCAAAAAAAAATTAGCCAGGTGTGGCGGCCCATGCCTATAGTCTCAGCTACTCAGGAGGCTGAGGTGGGAGGATCACTTGAACCCAGGAGGTGGAGGCTGCAGTGAGCTGTGATTGCACCACTGCATGCCCACTTGGGCAACAGAGTGAGACCCTGTCAAAAAAAAAAAAAAGAAAAAAACTGTAGTGGGAAGCAGGGAAGACACACCCACCTCCCACTTCTGAAGTATATGAGACATAAGAGACAAAGCTGTCCCCAACAGAAAGGGCTTCTGAGGAAACAAGTCCTTAAGGGGAAGTCTGGGTTTCCCTTAAAGCAAGAAAGTGAAGGAGGCAGTCCGAGAGACCAGGATCTCCAGAGGGCATGGCCAAAGGCAGTGGGGACAGCCTGGCACTGAGTGTCTACCCAGCAGTGCATCAGCTAGGGCCCTCAGACTCCCGATGATGGCTCAGGCGAATGGGAAGCCTGATGAGCGCAGTCCTGGAGGGCACAGCAGTCTGGAACTGAGGACCTTGGGATGGCTGGGTCTTGGCTTGTGATGGAGATGGGTGCCTTCAGTTGAAGATCGAGGGAGGGGCCAACTTGCTGGATTAGTACAATTGGTGACTGAATATCAGGATGTTGGACACAGCCCACCCTGGAGGTGTTTGGCTATTGGCATCCAGTAATGGCAAGTGAGAATCAGATCACAGGGAATGTCAAAGAAAGAAAGGCATTCAGATATCCCTTGCCAGCTCTTATTTTTCAGATGAAGAAACTGAGGCCCAGAGAGGTCAAATAACTTGTCCAAGGTCATCACGCAAATGAGTGGGAAGAATTTATTCAGAACAGAGGCAGGCATAGAGTTTGTGGATGCTGCTGGCTTAAGGGTGGGTGGAGGCGCAGGAGGCTGGCGGATGTCCGTTTTCCCAGCCTGGCTGAGCCGGGAGACCACTTGGTCTGGCTGTATCTATTCTCTCCTCATGGTCGCCATGTTTGCCCCCAACAAGGGCATGTGCCTGGCTTGGCAGGACTATTGGAAACCGGAGAGCTTAGACTCCATCCCTGTCACCCCTGTGGCACCTTGGTCAAGTGCCCTGGTTCATCTGGTTTTCACATCTCCTTTGTGATTGAGGGCATGCCTGCGTGGCAACATGTAGGTGTCATGGCCTGTGAACTGCCGTGAGCAAGATTGTGCCTGGACCTCTCAGGACTGGGCTGTGGTATCTGCTAGAGGGGGCTTCTGTCTGACCAAATGACTGAGTCGTTTACCAGGTATCTACCCTGCACTCAGCCCTGCTTCCATGAAGATCAAAACCTAGCAGGGAACATCAGACTGGACCTGGAGACTCACATAGCAGGGAACATCAGACTGGACCTGGAGACTCACATAGCAGGGAACATCAGACTGGACCTGGAGTCTCGAGACTCCTGGTAAAGGACACTCAAGAACTATTTTAATTCACTGGCCTCACATGTCAGATGAGGAAAATGAGGCTATGGCAGCACCAGAGTGAGAGCTTTACCCTGGCTGTGAACTCCTGGTCTGAAGCTGTGGCTGCTTTGCCTCACCTTGCCATTAAACTTGCAGTGTCTGCCCCGTGGCCCCAGCATCTGAGGGGCATCTGGTGGGCCCTGCCAGGCTCCTTCCTACAGAGCACCTCACAAGCGGGACACAGGGGAGTCCTGGCCCCGACTCCTAGGCCAACAGCAGGCATCCAGTCTATGGTGGTATCTGGGGGTCCCTTTTGCCACCCAGAATAGGATGCCAGTGAACATGGCCCCGATGAGCTGGCTCCTGCCTTTCAGCCCTTCTCTCCTTTCAGCCTGCGCAAGTGTTAAATACAGCATCAAATTAAGCAAAATTAAATACATTTCCATGCAGCATTTTTCTCTTGACTAAATCAAACAATGCGGTTGCCATAGCAACAGCCTCTTCTGAAAAGGTCACCTGCAAGAAACTGTGTTTTAGGTACAACTCAAGGAGATTATGGGGGATTAACTCATTTTATACATATATATTAAATATATATTTTTTTCCTTTAAAGGAACTGCTATGAAGAAATAATATCCAACTGAGCTGGAAGATACCCACAGAAAAAATTTTAAGTCCCCGATAAAGGATTTTTTTTTCCTTTTTTTTTTTTTTTTAACCAGCATGCAGTGGGGTGATATCTGAAATGGCGACTCTGTTTTTACTTAGCTTTAATTAAACCTCAGTCGGGGCTGAGAAATGTGGTGAAGCGAGATAATTGCACTATTCCCAGTACAGTTTTTAAACTCCAGCTTTGATATGCACCTCGTGACAGCCTGAACCTGCACCCAGACTCCTGGGGCTGCTTGAAGCTCAGCTTATAACCACCCCTTTCAACCTGTGTGCCTCTGGGGAACAGTGTTGGGGACCTTGAATGGGAAGTGTAGGCTGGGGGAGGTGGGAGCCCTGGTCGTCTGCCCAGGGGCAAGGAGAGGCTGCACCTTCCCTAAAAAGTTCATCTCTGGCACTCAGGGGTTCTCCACTGGACTTGAGAATCCAAACTGTCAGGGAAGGATGAACACAGCCAGTCTAACTCAGAAAGAGAATGGGGAGGTCTTCTCTAGCTTTTCCTGTAATTGTGAGAGGAACTGGAATGTCTCCAGGAAACCCTTACTGGATGTGAGTTAAAGCGGGCAGCCTGGTGTGGGTTCCTTTGTGAGTGTCACAGGCAGGGTGAGGGGTAATGCATGTTACTGTTCAGTGCTCTCCATCAAGAACTGGTGCAGAGTTCCCCCAAGCAAGAAGGTCTAGTTTCATCCGTTCGCAGGGCCCCACACAGTCTGCCCAGCCTGCCCAGCAATGGCACAGGTGTGGCAGGGCTCTGGCTTTCACGGTGCCAGGGTGATGGGCATCTGTGGCTGAGGTGTATAAGGAGTATGTCTGCCCCCTTGCCACTCACCCCCTAGTTCTGCCTGCTTTCCAGGAGGCCAAGAGTCTGAGGGTGTCCAGGTGGAGGGTTCAGATATACGGGGAAACAGGAAACTGGTGACTTGAGTGACCGCGCTAGATCCTGGACACCAGATGGACAGCTTCTCTGGAACCAAAGGTGGATCACACTCCAAAGACAATCCAGAATTTGCTGGGTGGGGCTGACAGCTCTCACGTCAGGGTCTCATGTGGCTCGCTCTGTCTGGAGCTCAGGCCACTTGCTAGGGCCATGCCTCCCCTCTGGGCCTGCAAGAGCTGGTGGCCAGCACCAGCTCAGAGCCACCTCGGGAGGAAAGAAATTGGACCCCTGGAACGTATATGCGTGGTAGGGCCATGTGTAGAGCAGGCCCAGCTAACACAAATACTCTTAGAAAAATGTTCCTTCAGTGCCTTCCTGGTGGCTAACCTGCCATCACGTGAAATGTCTTTCTCTTTCTGTCCTCAGATCCCCAGACTCCAGGCTCTTCTCTTAATTTATCCCAGTGCTAGACAAGGTGGGCTTGTGTGGTGCAGCAAAGACGGAGGAACTTGTGTGATAGGCAGGCCTGGATTTGAATTCTGGCTGCCACTTACCCGTTGATTGCCTCTCTTTCCTTATTTATCAAATGGGGATAATAATAGCTACTGTCTTAAATAATAGGTCCTCACAGGGTTCTTCTGAAGACTGAATGAAATGACCTGAGAGAATGTAGCCGGATAACATAGGTGCTCAATGGATGTTTGTTGAATACTGTATTTCAGGAACATGCCTTTTGTACAAAACAAACCATGTGTTTCCTTTCCTGTAAAATCCTGCTTGCCAGCCGGGGGCCAACCACAGAGCTTAAAGAAGGAACAGCAATTTCTAGCTCTAATCCCCTAATACAATCACTGGAGGTTTTCTTGAACTCTTAAGAAAAGCAAATCTACCATTATCCAGGGAAGAATTTTATTTTTAGATCAACTCAGCCCTCTGAACTCACATGAACCTTAAAAGAAGATCCTCAAGTGCCTAGCCAAACTGGAAAGAGCTAGGAAAAGACCATCGTTCCAAGTGGAGAGGGCTGACGTTCGAGTTACTCAAATCCGGCTCATTTCCCCTTTAGGACAAGGTGCAGCTGCTGCTGCCATGGCAGTGCTGGTGTGGTGTCTGTCACTGAGCAGGGCTTTAGCCGTGCCGCTTTTCTTCTCTTGGGTGCCACTGCTCAGCTTGTCAGATAAGATCTCCCAAGTACCTTCAGAAGACACTTGGCAAAGAGAAGCTGTCTGCCAGCTCCAAGCCAGGGGGTGTCTGTGCATAAGCTTTGGAGTCAAACAAAATTAGGTTTGAAACCAACCTCTGCCAATTTTTAGCTGCATGGCCTTGGGCTGGTTACTTCCTACTGAGAATCTTAGTTCCTGCCTGTAAAATGTGAATATTCTGTTTATCTCACAGTGTCATCATCAGCTTTAAATGAGATAATACTCATAAAGTGTTCACCACCAGGACGGGCAAGTCCCAGTCTCTCAATCTGTGGTGTCTGTGTCACCTGGAGGTGACTCTTTGAAGATCTTGTTAAAGCACAGACCGCTGGGCCCTACCTCTGGGGTTTCTGACTCAATAGGTCTGAAATGGAGCCCTGGAATTTCCATTTCGAACACGTTCCCAGGTGATGCTGCTGGTACAGGGACCACAGGT